GGGTCCCTAACCCCTGAGTTGTGTGAGGGTCAACTGCATGTTCCTAAGCTGCCAGCCTTCTCCATGTGCACCTTCCAGTTAGCTGACTGGCTCATGGCAAGGGGGCTGGTGTTGAGAGATGAGACCACAGAAGGTTCCAGGAATTCTGGGGGAGAAAAGCTCCAGATACTAGACCAAAGCACAGCTCCCAGACAAAGATTTCGCTCTTTGCCCAGCCCGATGCTCTCCCTTCCTGTGTATGAGGGAGGCATGTTAAAGATGATGACAGCTTTGGTCTCACAGACCTACTTGACTTCCTGGAATATCGGTGTGACTTTGGTCAAGTTGCACCTCCCACTGAGTCCCCATTTTCTTTTCTGTGAATTAGAAGAATAACCCACACCATGCAGGGCTGCTGTGGGGATCAAAATGAGAAAAGGGTTGGAGAATCTCGCTCTTCTTAAAGCTCAACTGACATTAGTTTCCATTCTCCAGCCTATGATTCGGAGATGGGACTGACATGTCCAGGAAAAGCCTGGCCTATTGCTCTAGACGGCAGCGCCATAACATACAAACTGAGGAAAATGAGCAACACCCCACGGACAAGCGCCGTAACGGGATGAATAGAATTAGGTTAATTACACACACACACACACACACACACACACACTCGTAAATCAAAACAAAACAAGACATGCCACAAATAAAAGTTTCCCTTTTCTCACAGTTGAGCAAGAACAGATCAATCAATTCTGAGCTGTAACAGGTCAGGCAAATTGCTATCTTTCTAGAAATGACCCCCCTTAACTAATTATCTTACAGCCCAAGCTAAGACAGTGATAGAATGTCCAAGTCAGCATGGACAGAGCACATTGATGTCCTACAAAGCACACGCACATTACTATATTTAAAACCCACAATAACTCTGGGACTTCGGGAAGGCAAATATTCCTATCCCATTTGCTCAAAGAAAAAATAAGACCAGTGACTTCACCCTTCATTCTCAAGGTTACAATAACATCAGAGGGGAATAATTATGGAAAAAAAAAACAAATTCAACTTGTTCGTTTGGGGTTCTAAAATAATGGTTACTTAAAAAAAAATCGTTAGACACAGAACAACAGCATCCATCACCTCTAAGATTACAAAAATATGGTTATACTTTGATATATTAGTCAACATTAATATATCTTAATTCTTTTTCCTTTTATAGTCTAAAGATTAAAAAAAGCAAATCAGATTTTAGACCAATGCTGCCCAGGATGAGGTCCCAGGCCCCTTGTGGTCTGTGAAGAGAGTATTAGGAACCCACCAGCTATGCTTAATATTTCAAAGAGCCTAACTAAAAATACTGTATTTTTATCTTACATAATTAGGCCACCCAAACTAATTAAAACCACAAATTTCTTTGCTTTTGGCTGGAATTTTGGTAGCACCAGACATCACACAATGATGAGAGGCCCTGATTGGTCTTTGATGATATCATAGGAATTCTGAGACCTGGAAACCAGGCCACACTGTGACTCGTGTCCCGGCCCGGAGGTCTCAACCCCGAAGCAGCTTGTTCAGTTCAGCGAGCAACCCCGCTCGTGAGTCTGGACACTCCAACCCTTCCAAACAGAGAAATTTGTGGTGTCAAACTCCTTGCACACAAAGCCATATAATGTAATAGGAGTCCTTGGTGATTACAAGGCCGGGAGCCACTGCTGTAACATTTCTGATGGAATTCGGGGGCGAGGTGTAGAGACAGGACACTAAGAGGGTTTTTATCCCAGTAAGGAAGCAAGAGAGATTTCTCACCACAGAGTAAATTCTCTAGGCCCAGTAAAAACATGTTGGGGGGGATTAACAGGAATTTTAGCCCTCCCATGTATAAACATGATTAAAACGGATATTTTTGTCACCTGTCACTGAGTGTTAAAATGAGTTCTGTTAAATAGAGGAAAAGAGGCACTGGCCTTGCTGTCCACAGTGAAGGGTGAAGGGAAATCCACACTTTCCATCCTCACTTCCTCCGTGAGCTCTGCCAATGGAAGAGGCAGTTTTTAGAGCCAATCAGTCCTGGCGTGAGGGCTGAGTAATGCTAGACACGCATTGCTTAATACCTCTGAGCTGTAGTTTCCAGATGAAAAGTGGAGGCAACACCTCCCTCTCCAAAGAAGGTAGTCTTCCACAACTCTGGGTTACAAACCAGGGAGTCCTCTGTTTCCATCCCAGTTCAGCCCCGGGCCTGAAGCGCATACTTAACTTACTTCCTCCAAGCTTTAATTTTCTCCCCTGAGAGTAAATAATATCATTTGTCCTTCCAATCTCATAGGTTGGGTTTGAGGATAAAAGATAATTTAGGGCTCGGCGCCTGTAGCTCAACCAGCTAAGGCGCCAGCCACGTACACCTAAGGTGGCGGGTTCGAATCCCCAGCCCGGACCCGCCAAACAACAATGACG